TTAGAGAAAAATTTGTTCTTAAAAATTCTTGTTTCTTCATTGGAACTGTATTAAACTAAGATGTTAAAAATGAGAAATCTTATGTAAACATTTTTCTTATGTTATGTTATTAAAATAAGTCAATTTTATCGATAATATATTAATAAAATGTGTATACCAAGGAAATTTATTCGTAAGCGTATGTATAATTTTTAAGCTACACCTTACGTCATTTCCGATAAATTTCCGATGAAAATAAATCTTACAACAAATTGATTTTACATAATCAATTTAGATTTTATCAAGATTTTACATAATTATTTATCCATAAAAATAAATAATCTCTTTTATCACTACAAACTATTTATGTATATCTGCCAATGTAAAATTACTTCTTTTGCGAAAAAACTCATTTATACCGATATTACAATATGAGGAAAAAATTTATACAAGTTTTCACTTTTAATGTCACAAATAAATATAGTTACAATGAGGAAATAAAAATTTTATAAATATCATAATGATATACTCTTCTCATTCTACAATGACATCTTACTTGTTAGATTTTCTTTTTTCCTAGCATCATCGTTTGCATTTTTCGACAAGTGCGACAGATAAAATGTAAGAATTGTGTAAAGAGACAAACAATAAACTAAATTAATATGTAAAATATATATATGTATGTGTGTGTGCACGCGTGTGCATGGGTATTAAATTAGTGCAAAAGACATTAAGTTACGAGTTCAAAGTTTTTAAATATGGAAAAATGGGAGAATGTACATTGAATCCAGTATAAAGATTATATCTTAAACAAAAAAAAAAAAACTTTTTTAAATATCGTTATTTCGTTCTGAATTTTATTCGGACACTTTTGCACCAATATAATACGTTGTAAAGAATACTTTATACTTTGGCATTGCCAACGACCGTGCATGTAACGTCATTTTGCATAAGATATATCTGCATAAGGTAAGAACGCTAAATAGTGTTACTTATGATATATCGATAAAGACCAATCTTTTTTGACTTCTATTTTCCTAAAACGACATATCGTGTAAGAAATTAATGTGATATGGCGTACACTATATTAATCCATTAACGACCAATTTTATTTTTGGAACAAAAATTTTACTGTGAATAAAATTAATTTGATAATTCGGTGCTAATTCTCCTTTCAGTATTACATTTTCAAATATAAACATTTTCAAGAAATGTAATAGTACATTGTGCAAAATATTGTTGGTATTAAATAAAAAAATAAAAACAATAGCGAAACATTATAATTATTATCTTTAATATATATAAATTTATATAATATTGAGGTCTTTAATGGATTTTATTAATAAAATATGAATAAAAATGGATGGGACAGAGAGAATCGTTGAAAATAAATAGAGCAATTTTAAACAAACGAATTAAAATAAACATAAATTTGAAAAATTTATTTCATAATTTTTTA